CCAGATATTACAGGCAATTTGTACCGCACTACAGTCAAATCGCCGCCCCACTAACAAACCTAACCAAAAAGAAACAGCCAAATGCAGTTCAGTGGACTAAAGAGTGTCAGAAGGCCTTTAACCAGCTTAAAGCAATACTCATGTCTGTGCTAAGGGCCCCGAACTTTGACAAACCTTTCCTAGTAACCACAAATGCATCTGAGTGTGATGTGGGAGCTGTTGTAATGCAGAAAGGACCGGATCAAAAATTCCATCCTGTCATGTTTCTCAGCAAAAAACTGTCTAAAAAGAAAAGCCACTGGTCAATCAGTAAAAAAAAATGTTACGCCATTGTATATGCGCTAAAAAATCTACACCCATATGTTTGGGGACAGCATTTCCACCTGCAAACCAACCATGCTGCACTAAAGTGGCTTCATACTGTCAAGAACAATAACAAAAAAACTTCTTCGGTGGAGTTTAGCTCTCCAAAATTTTAATTTTAAAATACAACACATTTCAGGAGCTTCTAACAAAGTGGCTAATGCCCTCTCCCGTAAAAGTTTCCCAGAATCAACTGGTTACAATCATCCTTAAAATGTAAAAAATATTGTTAGTTTTTACATAATCAGTAGTATATCTAAAGGTACATGTGTCTTTTAATTCTGTTTTCTCCTAGAGCTCCAGGAAGAAATCACAGCCAGTGTCATAAACATACAGCTAAGGATAGCATAAAATCCCTGTTTACCCTGTAAAGGGTTAATTCCTCTTTTACCTGTAAAGGGTTAAGAAGCTCAGATAACCTGGGGGCATCTGACCAAAAGGACCAATAAGGGGAGAAGATACTTTCAAATCTGTGGGAAAGGTTTTTTGTCTGTGTCTCTCGGAGCCAGCCAGGAAACAGGGCAGGGGGAAAATACATCTCCTTAAGCATATCTAAACTAAGCATCTAGTATTGCAAAAATAGTAAGTAATAAAAAAATGCATTAGGCTATCTTTTGTTTTAGATTGTAAATTTCCCCCGTGCTAAAAGGGAGGTTTATCCCTGTTTTTGTAACATTAAGTTTTGCCTAGAGGGGAAATCCTCTGTGTTTTTAACTCTTTTATTATTCTGTAAAGTACTTACCATCCTGATTTTACAAGGTAATACTTGTAATTAAATTAAAATTTAATTAAAATTCTTCTTTTAAAAACCCAATTAATTTTTCATTGTTCTTAAGATCCAAAGGTTTGGGTCTGTGTTCACCTGTACCAATTGGTGAGGATATTATTCTCAAGCCTCCCCAGGAGAGGGGGTGTAGGGACTTGGGGGGATATTTGGAGAAGGTAGGGCTCCAAGTGGCCCTCCCTAAATGTTTGGTTGAATCACTTGGTGGTGGCAGCAATACTAAGGCAAGGAAGAAATTTGTGCCTCGGGGAAGTTTTAACCTAAGCTGGTAAAAATAAGCTTAGGGGGTCTTTCATGCGGGTCCCCACATCTGTACCCCAAAGTTCAGAGAGGGGAAGGAACCCTAACACCTGCATTCCCATGAAGCACAGTAATTTCCAAGCCAATCCAAGTAAGTGACATTCAATCTTAACTATAGTAGAGCTGGCACTAAGTTGTAACAGAGTGTTGTCCCATAGCAAGCAAATTTTTACCTTCTCCTTGCCAAGTTGCTGTTCTTATAGGGCCTGATTTTCAGAAGTGCTGATCACTTTTTGACTTTAATTGAACAAATAGTCTGACTGGGCCTTCATTCCCTGCTCCATTTATTTATTTATTTATTGGACCAGCAGGATAAGGTCTAAACAGGGAATCAACTTCCTGCTTGCTGGAAATTGCTATATCCTCTGTAGCCTGTCACACTTCTCTCTCTCTCTCTCTAACTAAAAAAAAACAAAAACAAAAACAAACAAAAAAACCATAGAAGAAATAGAGCAGGTCCAAAGATTGGTAACAAATATTAGAGGTATGTTGTGGGAGGTGGGGCTCTTCTATGTGAGAAATTAAAGACATGAACAAAGGAAGCCACAGGAAATTAAATGGCAACAAATATAAAACTGATAAAAGGAAATTTTTTTTGAGGTCCACAGGCTTATAAAATTATGCATTGCCAGAATATATCATGGAGGCAAATTGTTTGGTAAGATCTAGAAGAGGTTCAGACATTCCCAGTACATGCAAAAAGACAGAAGCAGCAGTTAAACTACTGTATCTATGATACTAATTATAATGCCAAATATCCTCATGCTTCAGGGATAAACTAGTCACTGACTAGAGTCAGGAAGAAAGTTAACCCATCACTTCACTTGCACAATTGTTTGCTTTCATTATAGGATGTTTTTACCTTCCTCTGAAGCATTTGATGGCATTATAGTGACCGGATCGTGGGCTAGATAGATCAGGTCCAGAATGGCAATTTGCATGTTCCTACAGAAGAAGATCATTTGTTTATTAAAAGTGGCTTTGTGCCTCTCTTCCTGCCAGCCTGACAAGATTTTTTGTGTGTAATCAATCTATTCCTGGGTATGTCTTTGAAGAGATTGATCTCTACCATCTGGAAATGCTAATGACTCACTAACTTGTTCATATCTTTTTGGTTTACTGATACAATATATCAATCCTGAAATTGAAATCATTGGAGTTAGACCAGGGATGACTTTGCCCCACGTTTCTTAAGATAAATATATTTTTCTACTCAATATTTTGCTTCAGTTCAGTTTTGTTGTGGAGACATTTTCCTCTGAAGGAAGATCTGTTTCTCCTTCATGTAGGGTGACCAGGTGTCCGGTTTTGGACCGAAACACCCGGTCCAAAAGGGATCCTGGCAGCTCTGGTCAGCACCGCTGACTAAGCTGTTGAATGTCCAGTTCGTGTGTCTCTGCAGTGGGGCTGGCAGGCTCCCTGCTAGCTGCCGCGTCGCAGTCCGTGCAGCTCTGGTTTGGGAAGCAGCCAGCATGTCCGGCTCCTAGCATTAGGGGCTGCCATGAGCAGGAGCACCCCCATGCCCCTCACCATCTCTTGCCCCTCCCGCACCCCATCCCCCATCATTGCATCCCTCCCCTCCCACCCCCCACACCTACCCATCCCAACCCTGTACCCCTCACAGCGCTCTCCCATCCATCCTCTCCACCTCCCATGTCACCCCCCACACCCCATTCACCTCCATACACTGCTGCACTCCCATTATGTCCCTATACACCCCTGTGCCCCCCACATCCTCATGTACCTGTAGCCTTCTGCCTCCCCCTGCATCCCCATCCACCCCACATACCTCCCCACACCCCCTCCTCTCTCCTTCACTGCCCCCTCTCACCCCCACCCTGCTCTGGTCCTTGACCTCTTTCCCTCCCCATCCTCTCTCCTCCACCTCCACCCCCACCCCCATCTTTTCCCCTCCAGTCCACCCTCCTCCCTTCCCAGCTGGGTGATTTAGGCAGCCCCTGAAAAAGTGTATGAAAAAGTGTCATAGGCAAGTGTGTGCATGCATTGTATGTGTGTAAGAGACTGTGTGTCTTTGTATAGGGAGGTGCGTGTATTACAGCCTCTTTGACTTTTATTCCTTTTGCTGGCTTGTGCACAAAAAACTTGATGACATAAAATATGTGAGTATTCATTTCATAACAAGTTTAAAAAGAGAAGGGAACTCTAAAAGAAATGTATTATTTCTTAAAAAGTGAATGTTGTTGACAAGTAATTGCAGAAAAGCCAATGTATCAACTACAATGTATAAACTATTTGTTGCAGACTCTCTCTTTTTATGTGTATGTCCAGCACCTACCACTCTGGGTCCCTGATCTTAGTTGGGGTCTCTAGGCACTAAACAACAATTGTAATAATAAATAATGTGGAAGTATATGTGTTAGTGCATGCTAGATGTATACACATGAATAAACGTGTGTATCTGCATGTAGGTGTGGAAGTCAGTTTCTACAGATTTAATTATATACGTATCTGGACAGGTGTGCATTTCTGTGGTTGTGCTCTATGGATTTGTATTTGGGCTTCAGGAGTGGGCCTTTAATGGACTCATTGCAACTGTGATAATGTGTGGTCCTAATTCCACATATAAAATTACAATAACTTTAGTGAACAAAAAACATGGAGCTGGCTATGAAAAATGGGAAGAGGGGAGGGAAAGACTCATGAAAACCTTTGTGAAATTTCATTTTTTTTAAATTACCCTTTTTGACTATTTTGCTATCAGCTCTAGCGTCCTGTAACAAATAAAACCTGAACTTAGCTTAATATATCTGTCAGAACAATAAATATGCCTATTTGGGCCTTGCAGTGAAAATGAGCATGTGAGTGAGGGTTGGGGAGAGCAAGCGACGGGGTGGGGGTGTGTGGAGTGAGCAGGTGCGGGGCCTCAGGAAGGAATGGGGCAGTGGCGGGGCCTCAGGAAGGGGCGGGGCAGGGGTAAGGCCTCAAGGAAGGGTGGGCAGTGGGTGGGGCAAGGATGTTCAGTTTTCTGGAATTAGAAAGTTGACAATCCTACCTTTATGAAGTGGTCTTACTCATCTTGGTCTCACTCACTTACAGCAAAGTTCCTTGAGCAGTATTTGAACTTTGGCTATAAAAATCTTATGATCTTCTGTACTCTTTTTCCCAATTGTGATTTTTTTAAAGTATCTGCCTTCCATGAGATAAAATTCCAGCAAATAGGTCTTAGATTCCAAGGCCAGAAGGGACCATTGTGATCATTTACTCTGCCCTCCTGTATAACACAGGCCTCAGAACTTCTCCAGAATAATTCCTATAGTAGGTATTTTAGAAAAACATCCAATCTTGATTTTGAAATGGTCAATGATGGAGAATCCACCATGACCCTGGGTAAACTGTTCCAAGGATTAGTCACCCTCATTGTTAAAAATAGATACCTTATTTCCAGTCTGAATTAGTCTAGCTTCAGCTTCTAGCCACTGGATTATGTTAAACCTTTCTCTGTTAGACTGAAAATCCCAATAACAAATATTTGTTCCCCATGTAGGTAATTATCGACTGTCATTAAATCACCTCTTAACCTTCTCCTATATAGATGCACTCCTTGAGTCTAATCTCTACAATCCTTTAATCATTCTCATGGCTCTTCTCTGAAACTCTACAATATATCAACATCCTTCTTGAATTATGGGCACCAGACCTAGATGCAGTATTCCAGCAGCAGTTGCACCAGTGCCAAATACAGAGGTAAAATAACCTCTCGCCTCCTACTCGTGATTCCCCTGTTTATGCACCCCAGGATCACATTTTTTTGGCCCCAGTGTCAGACCAGGAGCTCATGTTCAGCTGTTTATCCACCAAGACACCCATTTCCCCCCACCCCCAAGACACTGTTCCCAGGATAGAACCCCTCACCCTTTAAGTATGGTCTATATTCTTTGTTTCTAGATGTATATGCTTACTTTTAGCCATACTAAAATGCCTATTGCGTGCTTGCCTCCAGTTTACCAAGCAATCCAGATCACTCTAAATCAGTGACCTGCCCTCTTCATTATTTACCACGCCCCCAATTTTGGGGGCATCTGCAAACTTTATCAGTGATGATTTTATGTTTTCTTCCAGGTCATTGGTAAAAATAGCACAGGGCCAAAAACCAATCACTGAGGGCCGCACTGGAAACAGACTCGCTCTCTGACGATTCCCCATTTACAGTTATATTTTGAGGCCTGTCAGCCAGTTTTTAGTCCATGTTGATTTTATGTTGATTTTATATAGTTTTTTAAATCAAAATCCCTGATGAGAACAAGAGAAGGTTGACTTTCTAGTGGCTTCAATCCTACCACCATTTACACTTGTCTAATTTTACTCACAGGATTAGTCCTATTGTCTCCTCAGACTATTCTAATGTCTAAATTCATGCAGATGTGCATAGGATAGAGGCCTAAGTATGTGCCAGAGCCATGAAGACAATCCAGGTCTCCTGACTTGTCCCAGTCTTGTGTCAAAACTAAAAGACTTCATCCTTCACCATTATTAATAATTGTTTGTATTACAGTAGAGCTTAGAAGTTTCACCCAAGACTGACCTGTACTATTGTAGCAGGTGCTGTACATATATGGAGAATAAGACAGTCCCTTCCCTTACGGGCATATATTATAAATAGACAAGATAAAAAAAGTTAATTTTCCTGAGTCGCAACACAGTGTCTTCTGCTACATGCCCATTTTCAGCTTTTCCCCCCTCTGACAAAAGTCCTCCAAGAGTTTCATATCTGCTAGAGTGCTCAGACATGCTACTTTGGGCAGGATTGTCTTACTTTTCAGCAAGCCATTGTACTTGTCTGTTCTAAAGTAGGGGAATATAACATTTTACTTTATGATACCGCCAACCTCCTTGTCCCATTCCTATAGGGAAACTAAGGCACTGATTACATCAAAGATAAAATCAGCTACCTTTATCATGTCCAGGACATGATTTCAGACCCTTAACTTTGTTATTTCGGAACAAAAACTTGTGTCAAATGTACTTGACTTCATGAAGCCTAAGAACAAGATTTTTTTTTTTTTTAATTGAAGCCTACGGTAAGGTTCCCAAATACATATTTAGGCACCTGAATAAGGGCCCTGATTTTCAAAAGTGCTGAGTATCCAACAGCTCCCAATGTCAAGTTTAGTCTTTTATTTTTGAAAACATTAGCCTCAGTTTGTGGCAGGTATGAAGTATTGAAAATTAACCTAGTTGAGTTATCTAAGTGCAAAAAAAAAAATGCTGTGTTTAAATGCATCAGTTGTTTGGGTGAGGTAGTTTTCCCCCCCCCCCATGCTTGGATAATTCAAAGAAAGCAACAAAATCTTATCAGCGGCGTGACACCGTAATATGAAAAGTGCCATTAAAAACTATATTAAATGTTAGCAGACACCATAATGTTAGTTATCTTGTTTCAAATAGGCCAATTTGTTTGCTTTCATGTGTGCCAAACACCTATGTCCTTAAATCCTTGCTCATATGAGTAGTCTTCTTTCTGGCAGTCCCATGGAAGTCCCCAGAAGCTTACAACAAATATCACAAACTGAAACTTCACTTCTGCAGTATTCATATGCTTTGATCTTGCATTAACATAGTGCCAATCCCCTTTTTCCAGCTCCTGGACACCTGAAGACTACCTACTGCACCACCTTCTTTCTGTTAGACGCTTCAGTTAGTAAGAGATCCTCCAAGCTCGGAAGCAAGCCTTAATTACAGTCCTTGTCCTTTCTCATGTAAGCCTTAAAATGGAAAGGGGAGAAGGAGGAATAAGTTATCAATTTACCCTATATTTAGGGTAACAGAAATCTGTCACCGGATTATATTTCCTTTGCTCTCTGGAATCAGCAATGAGTCTTCTGAAGCCAAGATGTACACTGTTCCTCGTTTAGACAGCTAAGTACATACCGTATCCCTAGAATTATCAGAGACAGAGCAGACAGCACCTTAATTCATAGAAAGTACATGGGTTTCAACAGTAATTCTTCAGCATGTCCCCTGATGTGAACAAGATAAAATGTCTCAGATCACATTTTATATGTATATCCACCTGCACCGAAGAGAAGTGTTACACAGCAGGGGCTGCAGCGCACCATATGTGGGGAGGGGGAGCAGGAGCCATAGCACTGTGCCCCCGAGCCATCCTGCCACTACACCCCCTGCCTGACAGTCCACTTCCCCTCTCAGGCACCCCATCTTCTGGCTCATGAACCCTACACCCACTCCCCTCCAGGAGGCTCAGCCCTTGAGAGAGACCCCTTACCATCCCCTCCCAGCAGCCCCTGTCTCCCCTTACCTTAGCTCTCCCTGCTGGTGAGCCTCATCCCCAGGTGAGGATTCCATCATGCTTCCCAGCAGATCCTCGGTGCTGAGAGGAGCCACCACAGTTTCAGCAGCCCGCAGCTGAGGGCCTGGCATGTGGCACGCTGCACACTGGAGCCACTACAGCTACAGTGGTGCTGCAGCCCACTGTGCCAAATTGCAACAGTACTCAAATTTGGTCAGGCCAAAAAGTGATTGGGCCATGGGCCAGGTGGTGTCCCCAGCTCCAGGGCCCATACATAGGCTTCCTCTTAGTGAAGATGTTGATTTATGTATACAATTTTGCATTGTTTCCTGGGGGCAGAATTATTTATAGCAAGTGAAGAGAATTTTTATTACAGTATTTGTGTTTTGAAATTACCATGCTGATAGACATGGCAGATCACCTTTTAGAGAGATTATGGGTGAGGTTTTTCATTCCTGATAAAACCCCTATGTGCTGCTTCACTGGCATACAAAGACTGTAAGAGCCCTTCAGTTGGCCAGATTTATGCAGGCCCCTCAAAAGCCTTGACACAAGGGGTGCACTAGAGCAAAGCTGGAGCTTGGAGGAGACGACACAGGCCTGTAGTACTACAGGCATTCTGCAAAGTACCTCTGCCCAAAAGCAGATCTGTAAGATACACCAGGGACTGCTCCAGCCCTCAAACAACGCAGAAATGAGAGGGTGCAAAAGTGGTTTAGAGACAGGTTCACTCTTCCTCCCTTGGGTTGTAAGATCTGTGCTATACCTTCCTCTAAAGGGAGCTGCAATAAATCTCATCCTACGAATATATTGAGGGCAGAAGGCAACTTATTTGTCTGTGTGTGTTCTAGTTGTTTGCTGTATCTGTACCTCCCAGTAGATGCAGAGCTAATCCTAGACATGTGAATAGGTTGGCCAAGGATTCTAGCAATACTGAGAGATATTGTCTAGCAGATTACCTGTTTTTATAGTCTGGTTTCAGGGATCAGGGACTATCTAAAAAACCTGATGTATTGTGAAACAAGAGAAATGGAAAATACAGCACTATTTACCAACTCTTTACTGAGGTATAGCAATACGTACTATCCCTGCATTTACTCTGACATAAGACAGCAATATTTCTGTGGAAACATAGACTTACCACTGGCATGCCCTCTCATGGCCGGGCATGGCATAGCCAGCTCTCATTCTCCATTGTCCCCTGGTAACAGCCAGTCTGACCCTGCAGAGGTCTGCCTCTTCTCATGACTCGAATCACTCTGAAGTCTCTCTCATGGGATATTGGTGTCTCAGACAGTGCACCATGTGACACTACTTGTTAATCAGACATCTTCCACCCCTCCAGGGCTCCTCCTCTATTCCACTCTACTGTCAGGATAATAGCCCCAACACTTCTCCCTGGAGTCTGTCAGCCAAACAAAACACACCAAAAGCAACATCTGCTCCTTCCCCCACTTGAACTTTTAATCCATCCTGGGTGCTCCCAAGTTCTCCATTATTCTGCCAAGCACTGACTCTCAGGGGTTATCTTCTTAAAGTCTTGGCCTTAGCCTGGATCCTCAGTAACAATCTTCCTCCAAGGTTATCTGCCTGTAAATTGGCCCTCTCACACCTCCTTCACCCCTGCTATCCTCTCCCTAAGCACCAATTTAATCTCCCTGCTGAAGCACCTCTGGTCTCCACTGCCAAGAAAGGAACTAGAGAGCCTATCCCATTCTCTTTAGAACTTCCTTCCTACTCTGAGCTTCCTTTCTTAACTATCACTATGCTTTATCTATAATTAGAACGGAATCCACTGCAATTCCATATATGTTGCATAGTTCTCATTGTCACCTTGTCTTTTCCCTACTACTTCAGTTGTGACTAGGGTTGGGTATTAGATCAGTCCAAAAATAATTGGTGAACTGAGTGGTCAAAATAATTATAAAAAATGGTAAAATATTTTAAAGACCTAATTTATTAGAACAGTAACAAGAGAGTCAAAAGAGTAAGACTTTATGGTCTCCAATAGGCTTAGCCTTAGATAGATACTTACACCTAATTACAAAAAATAAGTTACTTAACTGAGTTAACTTAGAAATATCCAAAACACAATGAAATGAATTGTTTAAAAAATGACATGATGTTGCCATGATGCAATAAAAAGATAGGTCACCGCCTACATCACAGCATTTTTGTTGGAATATTTGACAATATTTTTCCATGGACAAATAATAGGCTATCAGTTGATGTTCTTTGAGACCAGTCAATTGACTGGTGTGCCAAACCTGCTTGTGACCTGATTTGAATGACTGTTAATACTGCAAACTGCTAGAGCTAGAACCAATGTTGTGTTCTATCTGAAATCTTGTAAAGTACTGCCAGCTTTCAAACAGTATAAACCAGTGGTTCTCAGAGCCGGTCTGCCGCTTGTTCAGGGAAAGCCCCTGGC